CGAGCTGGGTGGCGACTGGAGGGGAGAGTTCCGGCCGCCCCTCTCTGCCCGCGCACACGGGCAGGCTGGGCTGTGGGGGAGGGGAGCGAAGGAAAGGGTTTCCTCCCGGCGATAGCTGCGGAAAAGGAGCGCTCACCCGGCGGTGTCGGAGGGGAGGCGGGCGGTTGGGCGACTCTACGCCGTCTGCGGGCCCCGGGCCGGTGGGCAGAGCAGGCGCCGTGCGCTGAATAGACCCAACACAGAAGGAGTTGGGGTCCTCTGGGGGACTGGTGTCGCTGCTTATCTACTGCCGGATCCTAGAGTACAGTTTTGAGGTGGTTATTGACCTTATGCAAAAAAAGCGGCATCTTGTTTGATGTTTCTTGTGCCCAGTGGGGCGCTGCAGTAGTCACAGACAGTACACTACCGTTTGTAAAAATTCCGTTCTAGGACAGATTGCTACTACAGCAGGAAACACTGGTAGTAGTCATTAGAAAATGCGAAGCACTTTAAAACAGCTACAGCACAAAGAGAAACATGTAAGAATTGGATGCTCTTTGCGTTATGTGTCCTTGAGCAAAAGGAAAGCTGCTCAAATACATTTAGTTGCTGCATAAGACGTGAAAATATTTTTCTTAATTGTTTAGCTACTCGGTGTCAATACAGTTTCTGTGGAGGCTCGTTGCTTAGTTCTCTTGGCACTGGTGTTCGGTAGCTTCCATATTACTTAAGCAAACCGGACCTTTGTATGCTTCTCTGTCATTGTTAGTTAAAATTAAATATTTAAATATTGATACTGTGTATTTGGGGATCCTGAAGTCTAGTATGTTCCTTTGAAATTGCCTTGTAGTGCTATAGCTGAAAATTATTCTTGTTACAAAACTGCCACAGATGACAACTAGTGATGGCGATGGCTTGTCTGGCTTTGCTTCTTCCAGGGCTATAGATCTGAGTCTGCTTCTGCAATATAACAGATACTTTTTTATATGTGATCTGCAGGAGCCATTTGCACCTGAGCTAAGGAGTAACACTGGCAACTTAGAACAAAAAAAGATGCCTCTTTTCACAAAGGCCTGCTGATCTGGCTAGTTCACTGTAGTGTTTATATTTACAAGGCCTTGAGTTTTGTGTTCTGTCACTTCTTGATGTTTGCTGTAATTCTGATGTTGCTCTCAGGTGATTGTGTGGCATGACAAGCCTTGTGTTATTGTGTCTGGAAAACTTCAACTGTGTAATTGTATTTTATTTTTCTCAGTCACTTAAGTGCTTGGATAAAACATCCCATGTTTAAATATAGGTAAATAAAGCTTTACTTTGCTATTATAAGTAAGGGCAACATATCAGCACAGTAAAATCTGTGAGCTGCTCATAAAATTGTAGCTTTTTGATAATCCAAGCCAGTACAAATTGTACGTGGTCCAGCCTGAAGAACGGAACCCCTGCCATGTGTTGTGGTACCTGCATAAAAGGAAAGTACTATGAAATCCTGGCATAGATATGTGGGAGAATTTTTAGAGATCAATGGTCACCCTGTGAGCACCCCAAGCACTGAGAACTTGTTGATGACAATGTAGGCTTCAAAGAATGTGGAAGGTCAAATTGTGTTTTGTGAATGTCTGAGTTCTGTGAAGGGAGGAAAGAACTCTTGCTGAATGTACCGATAAGCAGGATTTTTGAGTAAAAGATAGAAGTAGATAACTATGCGAGTGAACAGCTGGGGCTAGCCAATCATATAGTAGAGATGCTTGTTTGAACTATGCGTGTAACCAGTGATTGCTTGAGTGTTGCGTGGCGCTGGAGAAAGTTGTCTATATTAGCTGAGCTATCTGTGCAATAAAGTGGCATTTACCCTGATCGTATTGGTCATGGTGTATCTGTCCGTGCTTCCGCGTCAACATAGATAAGTGACTGAATCAACCGCTTAGCACTGAAAAGGACAGACTGATCCAACAGCAAATGCAAGGAAAATTAGATGATTAAAACTTAATGTTCAGAACTGCATTTTTCTTTAAATTTTATTAGTGTATCTAAAATACTGACAACAGTATCCTGCAAACAATATCACTAGTGCCCATAAGGTTTAAAAACAAAACCACCTTCACACCCCCAAAGTGAAAAAAAACCCTGAGAACCATAACAGTAACTTCTATTTTTTTCTTTGACTGCATTACCAAGGAAGCTTTCTAAGACATGTTGAGAGCACTGAGAGCGGTGCTGAGAAGGACTTGGGGGTGTTGGTGGATGAGAAGCTCAACATGAGCCGTCAATGTGTGCTCGCAGCCTGGAAAGCCAACCGTATCCTGGGCGACTTCAAAAGAAGCACGGCCAGCGAGTCAAGGGAGGTGATTCTCCTCCTCTACTCCACTCTGGTGAGACCCCACCTGGAGTACTGGGTCCAGCT